ATAGTAAGAATAACGTGGATTCTATAAAATATAACATTGAAATTAGTGTTTGATTTTGGCTGAATTTGTACCGAAATAGAGGCTTAAATTTCATATTCAGTGCGCCTCGTTACCTCTAAGCATGAGTATTTTCTCCTCAGATAACATGCAAAATATTAATAAATGGGCAATGACCAAACTTGAACTCTAGTGTGTGTATTTGTTTACCTCAGTGTTAAAACGTTGCATCGCGGACATGTCATCTGCAGCTCTTAAAAGAAGATAGAGCTTCTTCACATTTGGTTGAACCCTAAGAATCTTCTCAACAAAAACTGCATCCACATTTCAAATTCATTAACCAAGAATTCTTTACTGTTTTGTGCGTGTACACAGAGAGAGAGAGAGAGAGAGTACTCTTAGCCAGAAAACCAGTGGCACCAGTGACAAGAATGGACTTGTCCTCAAGAAAATGGAGAATGCTGCCCAGGTCCATTCGAGTAGATAATTGAACACGAAGAGAGAGAGAGAGAGAGAGAGAGAGTTTATGTGATAATGCAAAACACAAAAGTATGACAGAGAGTAGGGTTTAGATATAGATTTGGATTTGGATACACCAAAAACCTCTATTGGTATGACCTTGTACCGTGGATAAAACATACGAGCACATATATATAGAAAGATAGATACATACAAATAGATATAGTGAGAACACACCGAGTTTGTCTTGTGAAGTCATGATACACATGTACGAGGAACATGTGTCACAACAGTATACTTTTGGTCCCTCAAAATAAATGAAGGTTGGGCTTGTTTAGTTGGATGCTTCTAACCTACTCTCTGCTAATTAATATTGACCTGTAACTGTGATGTAATTTCTATTCGGTGGAGTGATCCAACAAGTTGATCAAGAATTGAAGGAAAGTTGGTCTCATCATCTAAATTTGGTTAGGAGTTTACTGATTACCTATAAAAGTAATTGGATTGACCAAGCAATGTAGGTATCGCTAGATTTGGTCATCTTCTTTCAAATTGATGAGCACAACTGACCAATTATATTTTTTGCTGGAAAATAAATACAACTATACAAATGACCTATCATTCTACACGTATTCTATGCATTTTGGGCACATTTGTACATAAAGTAGATAATACGGTGAATGGGGTTGTGTTTGAGCCATATTATTTTGGAAGAATGTATTTTGGAATAGTAGATTGATGGAAAATTTGTGATTGAAAAAAAAAAGAAAAAATTATTGATGTGATGGAAAATATTATTTTATTAAAAAATATGTAGTTGAAAATGAGTAGAAGAATGAGAATGAAAATTTTAATGTTGCTCAAACGGGGCTAAGTAAATAATTAAATCTAGATTTTAATTCAAACTTACATATTTCTTTTCCTTCTACTAATAATTTTCTC